CACACGGGTCAGAACACACACACACAGAACACACACACACACGGGTCACACACACACACACACGGGTCAGCACACACACACACACACACACACACACACGGGTCAGAACACACACACACACACACACACACACACACACACGGGTCAGAACACACACACACACGGGTCAGAACACACACACACACACGGGTCAGAACACACACACACACACACACACACACACGGGTCAGAACAACACACACACACACACACACACGGGTCAGACACACACACACACGGGTCACACACACACACGGGTCAGAACACACACACACACACACACACACGGGTACACACGGGTCAGACACACACACACACACACACGGGTCAGAACACACACACACACGGGTCAGCACACACAACACACACACACACGGGTCAGAACACACACACACACACACACACACACACACGGGTCAGAACACACACACACACACACACACACACGGGTCAGAAACACACACACACACACACACACACACGGGTCAGAACACACAACACACACACACACGGGTCAGCACACACACACACACACACACGGGTCAGAACACACACACACGCGGGTCAGAACACACACACACGCGGGTCAGAACACACACACACGCGGGTCAGAACACACACACACACGGGTCACGGGTCAGACACACACACACACGGGTCAGAACACACACACACACGGGTCAGACACACACACACAACACACACACACGGGTCACACACACACGGGTCAGAACACACACACACACGGGTCAGAACACACACACACACGGGTCAGAACACACACACACGGGTCAGAACACACACACACACACAGGTCAGAACACACACACACACAGGTCAGAACACACACACACACAGGTCAGAACACACACACACGTCAGAACACACACACACACACAGATCAGAACACACACACACACACATCAGAACACACGCACACGGGTCAGCACACACACACACACGGGTCAGAACACACACACACACGGGTCAGAACACACACACACACACACACACAGAACACACACACACGGGTCAGACACACACACACACACACACATCAGAACACACACACACGGGTCAGAACACACACACACGTCAGAACACACACACATGGGTGGGCGGCAGTAGCTCAGTTGGTAGAGCATTTTGCCCACTGATCTGAAGGTTGGCGGTTCGAATCCACCTCTCAACATAAACATCACAGGTTGAGCGGTCAGATCCACTGACCCACAGGTTGGCTGGTGTGATTCCAGCTCCCACAGATGAATGCTGTCGTTGTGTCCTTGGGCAAGACACTTAACCCACCTTGCCCACAGTGTCTACACTGGTGTGTGAATGTGTGAGTGAATGTGTGAGTGGTTCCTTGTTGTAAAGCGCTTTGAGCCTTGAAGGTGGAAAAGCGCTATAGAAAAATGTGACCATTTACCATTTACCATGGGTCAGAACACACACACATGGGTCAGAACACACACACACACACACACGGGTCAGAACACACACACACACGGGTCAGAACACACACACACACACGGGTCAGAACACACACACACACGGGTCAGAACACACACACACACACGGGTCAGAACACACACACACGGGTCAGAACACACACACACACACGGGTCAACACACACACAGTCACACACACACACACACACACACACACGGGTCAGAACACACACACACACACGGGTCAGAACACACACACACACGGGTCAGAACACACACACAGACGGGTCAGAACACACACACACGGGTCAGAACACACACACACGGGTCAGAACACACACACACACACGGGTCAGAACACACACAGACGGGTCAGACACACACACACACACGGGTCAGAACACACACACACACGGGTCAGAACACACACAGACGGGTCAGAACACACACAGACGGGTCAGAACACACACACACACGGGTCAGAACACACACAGACGGGTCAGGACTGGTCCAGTCCAGGTCCGGTCCTGGTCCAGTACTCACTGCTCTCGGGTCTCGCGGTCTCTCTTGATCCTCTTGAGCTCCCGGAGTTTCCAGGCTTCGTACTCGTCTTCTTCGTTCTCGGGGTCGGTGTCCAGAGCCTCCAGCGCCGCCACGTTCCTCCTGTTCTCCTCAAACTCTCGTTTGGCTTCGTCCTCCACCAGCTTCAGAGAATATCTCCTCCTCTCCTCCGCCAGGCGCCGCTGCTCCTGCTCCGCCTGTGCAACCACAACCACACACCGGCTCAGAACCACAACCAGAGACCAGAACCAGAGACAGAACTAAACCCCCAACGCTCTAAACCAGGACTAAACCGGGACTGAACCGGGACTAAACCAGACCTGAACCGGGACTGAACTGGGACTGAACCGGGACAGTCTCACCTCTTTCTGGCGCTGTTCCTCCATCTCGCGCTCGGCCACAGTCACACGGTCTTTCCTATAACACAAAGGTCAGGGGTCAGAGGTCATTGTTCAGAGGTCAGGTCAGGGTTCAGAGGTCAGGGGTCAGAGGTCTCACTTCCTGATGAAGACGGGCTTGAGTCGCGGTTCGGCTTCGTCCTCTGAGTCGGTGTACTCCTCGTACTCGGACTCGGACTCTGATTGGTCGGATTTCCCCTCCTCCTGCACCTCCATCACTTCCTGTTCCTCCAGCTTCCTGTCCAGAGCTCGCTGACGCATCATCGACCGCCGCCGCTCGATCTCCCGCCGCCGCCACCGCCGCCACCGCCGCCACCGCCGCCGAGAAACGAAAAGAGTCAGAACACGAACAAACAGGACTGACGCACACAACCACACACACCACACATACCACACAACAACACACAACAACAACAACACACAACAACAACACACACAACACACACAACAACACAACACACCACACAACAACACACACCAACACCACACAACACACAACAACAACACAACAACACCAACAACACAACACACAACAAGAACAACAACAACAACAACACACACACAACAACAACACAACACACAACAACACCACACAACAACACACAACAACACCACACAACACCACACAACAACACCACACAACACACAACAACACACAACAACAACACAACACACAACACCAACAACACAACACACAACAACAACACACAACAAACACACACACAACACAACACACACAACAACACACACACACACACACAACACACACACACACAAAACACAACACACACAACACAACACACACAACAACACAACAACACACAACAACACACAACAACACACACAACACACAACAACACACAACAACACACAACAACACACAACACACAACAACACACAACACAACAACACACACAACAACAACACACACAACAACAACAACAACAACAACACACAACAACACAACAACAACAACACACACAACAACACAACAACACAACACACAACACACACACACAACAACACACACACAACAACAACACACACACACACACAACAACAACAACAACACACAACAACACACAACAACACACACACAACAACACAACACACAACACACAACACACACACAACACACAACAAACACACACACAACACACAACACACACACACAACACACACACAACACACAACACACACAACACACACAACACACACAACACACACAACAACAACAACAACACACAACAACACAACACACAACAACAACACACAACACACAACAACACCAACAACACAACAACAACACACAACACAACACTAACAACACAACCTCTGATTCAACTCTGATAAAAGAACACAGTCGATACTGATACTAATACGACCCAGACCAGCTCTTTTTACACAATATTCAAATTTTAAACCAAAATAACAGGAGCAGCCCCGACAGGAGCAGCCCCGACAGGAGCAGCCCCGACAGGAGCAGCCCCGACAGGAGCAGCCCCGCGGTCCTGTATTGCCAGGAGCTCTGTATGACTCCAGAGTCCAGAGTTTACAGAGCCACAGGACAGGTATCGGATCGGTATCGGTGGAGTTTTACAGACACACGGGGTCGGGGGGGGGGGGGTCACACCTCTTCGTCCAGCTCTTCTTCCTCCTCCTCTTCCTCGCTGCTCTCCTCTCGCTCTCGCACACGAGCTCTCAACTGAACCGGCTCCTCCTCCTCCGACTCCTCGCTGCTCTCAGCCACCACCTCCGGCTCCACGATGGCCCGGTGCCTCTGGTACCTGCCGACAGGTGAGGTGTGACAGGTGAGGTGTGACAGGTAAGGTGTGACAGGTGAGGTGTGACAAGTGAGGTGTGACAGGTAAGGTGTGACAGGTGAGGTGTGACAGGTAAGGTGTGACAGGTAAGGTGTGACAGGTGAGGTGTGACAGGTGAGGTGTGACAGGTGAGGTGTGACAGGTGAGACACACTTCACCTGACACTGTGTGTGTGTGTGTGTTTTTATTTTCTACAGCTCTTTTCACACACGTGTACACACATACAGGGGTGTGTGTGTACACAGGTGTGTGTGTGTGTGTGTGTGTGTGTACAGGTGTGTGTGTGTGTGTGAGTACAGGTGTGTGTGTGTGTGCGTGTGTGTACAGGTGTGTGTGTACAGATACAGGTGTGTGTACAGGTGTGTGTGTACAGGTGTGTGTGTACAGGTGTGTGTGTGTGTGTACAGATACAGGTGTGTGTGTACAGGTGTGTGTGTACAGGTGTGTGTGTACAGGTGTGTGTGCGTGTACAGGTGTGTGTGTGTGTGTACAGATACAGTGTGTGTGTGTGTGTGTGTACAGATACAGGTGTGTGTGTGTGTGTACAGATACAGGTGTGTGTACAGGTGTGTGTGTGTACAGGTGTGTGTGTACAGGTGTGTGTGTACAGGTGTGTGTGTACAGGTGTGTGTGCGTGTACAGGTGTGTGTGCGTGTACAGGTGTGTGTGTGTGTGTGTGTACAGATACAGGTGTGTGTACAGGTGTGTGTGTGTACAGGTGTGTGTGTACAGGTGTGTGTGTACAGGTGTGTGTGCGTGTACAGGTGTGTGTGTGTGTGTGTGTGTGTACAGATACAGGTGTGTGTACAGGTGTGTGTGTGTACAGGTGTGTGTGTACAGGTGTGTGTGTACAGGTGTGTGTGCGTGTACAGGTGTGTGTGTGTGTGTGTGTGTGTACAGATACAGGTGTGTGTACAGGTGTGTGTGCGTGTACCTCTCCTCGTGGCCCTCGCTGCTGCGGTTCATGAGTCTCTTGAGCCTCGGGTCGGACACTTCCGTCTCAGTTTCTTCCGTCTCCGTTTCTTGTTCTCTGGATTTCTTCACAAACTGAAACTCTTCGTCCTCTTCGTCGGACGACTCCATCGGGGCGTAGTCGGGGCGTTTGCCCGAGATGTAACGCTTCACCTTCACCTTCTCCATGGAGAGCTCCCCTAGGGTCACAGGTCAGAGGTCATAGGTCACAGCAACAGGACGTAAAGCTCCTGAATCACAAACTCTGAGCTTTAACCCATGTTCTACTGTTCTGTTGTTGTGTTGTTGTTGTGTTGTTCCTGGTCACACTCAGAGCTGAACTTGTGTTTGTTTGTTTAAGTCTTTATTCTGAGTCTGTTACATCTGCAAAACTCCAAACATTGTGTTCCACCTTGTGAAGTCATCAAGTGAAGAGCTCCTTTTCCCTTTAGTTCAGTCCAGATCGAACCTCCAGGACTGAACTGATCCGGATGATTCTAGTGAAGGTGAAGTGTGGAGTTTAAAAACACAGTGGAGCACTTCCTGTATCGCCACATGATGACATCACCAGGTGGAACAGGGTTTTGTCGTGTTAAATGTTCAGGTTTGTGTGTGAAACAAACACATCTCCAGAAAACAACAACAACAACAACAGAGCAGAGGATTGTGGGAGATTGAGTCCCAGTATAACGTTCATTAGAGCAGAGCGTCGGCCGGTGCTTTGTCGTACATCACATTTAAATGTGACTTTATTAATTCTGTTTAAATGTGACTTTATTATTTCTGTTTAAATGTGATTTTTAATCCTGTTTTTTGCTGTTAGCATTAGCATTAGCTCAGACTCTCCCGGTCCCGTGAAAAGTCCGTTAAAGACGCACCTTTCTCGTTCCTCACGGGCACCGCTCCCGCCGTGGACTGGATGGCGGGCAGCTTCATGTTGAGGGCGTCGATCCCCGACATTTCTCCCGTTTTTAGGTCAAATAATCCTGAAATAAACAAACACACGAAGCGGCGGCACCGTGAGCGAGGCCACTGCGATCTACGGACAGGAAGCGGAAGTGTCCGGCCGGGAACAAACTGCCGCGGCACAACAACCAATTTGTTCCGCTCCTTGATAATATATATATATATATATATATATATATATATATATATATATATATATATATATATATATATATATATATATATATATATATATATATATATATATATATATATATATATATATATATATATACAGTTGTGGTCAAAAGTTTACATACAGTACACGTTCAGAAACTAAATCCCCTACTAACTTCAAGTTACACGCTTCATCCTTGAATAAGCGGCCATTCTGGAATGCATAGGGTAATCACTTTTTGGAAATAAAAAGAAAAGGCATAACTTCCTGTTAATCATTTATTTATTTAATAGTTCTTTTAACAGCACAACTTCTTAGTGGTTCATAAGTTTACATACACCCACATGCCTTGCCCAATAAACAATACATTGGTTGAAGGCAGCTTCTGCAATCAACATGCAATGGTCCCATTTAGCCCAGTGTTCAGTCATATTGCATAATTAACAGGTTTTATACATTTGAAGGGTATATAAACAGCTTAACTTCACACGCACTGCATTGACTTGATATGGGGAAGTCAAAACAACACACTCAGGACATTAAGGACCGAATAGTGACCTTGGACAAGGCAGGCACATCCCTAGGAACCATCTCCAGGCGGCTTCATGTCCCTAGAGCATTTGTTCAGACAATTGTCCAAAAATTTAAGCACCGTGGAAGTACAGCTGTAATGCCACGATCTGGAAGGAAGCGGAAACTAACACCCAGAGATGAAATGCTTTTGGTCAGAAAAGTGAAAATGAACCCAAAGACGACCAAGAAAGCCATCTGCAATGAATTGGCTGCCTCTGGAACAGATCTATCAGTATCCACGGTCAAGAGAGTTCTCCATCGACATGGGCTGAGAGGGTGTCGGGCCAGAAAGAAGCCATTACTTCAAGAGAGGCACAGAAAAGCACGACTGAAGTTTGCCAAACAGCACCTGAACAAGGATAAGGCCTTCTGGAAGAATGTGCTGTGGTTATACGAGATGAAAATTGAACTATTTGGTCATAATGACCAACAGTACGTTTTCCGGTGAAAGGGTGAAGCCTTCCACCCCAACAATACAGTTCCAACTGTGAAGCATGGTGGAGGAAGTCTCATGTTGTGGGGTTGCTTTGCAGCGTCGGGAACTGGAGAACTCCAGAAGATCAGTGGAATCATGAGGAAAGAGGATTACATAGAAATATTGCAAAGAAACCTCAAAAAGTCTGTCAAATGTCTGAAGCTTGGTCGAAATTGGATGTTTCAACAGGACAACGATCCGAAACACACAGCCAAAATAGTATCAAAATGGTTCCAGACAAACAAGGTGAACATGTTGGAGTGGCCTTCACAGAGTCCGGACCTTAGTCCCATTGAGAATGTGTGGAGTGAACTGAAGAAACAAGTCTGTAAGAGGAGACCAACAAACATAGCACAACTGTACGAAATCTGCCAGGAGGAATGGCCCAAGATCTCCAGGCATTACTGTGAGAAGCTAATTGAAGGATATCCAAAGCGACTTGCTGAAGTTATCAAGGTCAATGGAAATGCAACGAAGTACTAAGCCCTGAACGAGTAGGTGTATGTAAACTTATGAACCACTGAAAAAGTTGTGCTGTTAAAAGAACTATTAAATAAATAAATGATTAACAGGAAATTTTTCCTTTTCTTTTTATTTCCAAAAAGCGATTACCCTTTGCATTCCAGAATGGCCGCTTATTCAAGGATGAAGCGTGTAACTTGAAGTTAGTAGGGGATTTAGTTTCTGAACGTGTACTGTATGTAAACTTTTGACCACGACTGTATATATATATATATATATATATATATATATATATATATATATATATATATATAATAAAATAGAAAAAATAATAATATGACATAAATAAGTCAAAAGTTGTATATTTAATGCAAAACATTACTGGATCAAAAGTAGAAAGTTTGTGTTTGTGTATATAAATATATATTATATATCTTATTATCGGTCCATGATTCTGTATTATGCACCATCAAAACTACAGTTGTTTTATTATGAATTTATTTCTCTTTATTTGACTGTATTATATTAAACACAGCGTTGAGTCTATATTCTCATATTGATTTATCTTGATTTTTGAGGTCGTTTCTGTTTTCCTGTACTGGAATTTCCCCACTGCAAGACAAATAAAGGTTCTTTTCTCTTAATTACCTTCATTAGATTCCATAAAGTTTATCTTCACTTATAAAGTAATTATTTCAGTAGGAAATAGAAATACACAAAGTATGAACACAGGCAAATGATTTCCTCAGAGGTTTACGCTTTATTCAAAGTAAAACCGTCCCCACAGACAAACGCTTAGTGTTTCTGTAAAAGCCCTATTAAATCTATTTTATATCTACAGTGTATCCTGACATCTAAGATCAGCAGCACTGCTCAGTCTGAGGTACTGACTCCTCGGGGAGTCCTCGCTCAGTCTGATTTGTGGACACCTCGTGGACTCCTCGTGGACTCCTCGGGGACTCCTCGGGGACTCCTCGGGGACTCCTCGGGGACTCCTCGGGGACTCCTCGGGGACTCCTCGGGACTCCTCACTCAGACTCCTCTGGACTCCTCGTGGACTCCTCGGGGACTCCTCGGGGACTCCTCGGGGACTCCTCGGGGACTCCTCGGGGACTCCTCACTCAGTCTGACTCGTGGACTCCTCGTTGGGTGAACATCTGGTCCAGTTTCTCCTCCAGGATGGGGCTGGTTCCTCTGAGACCTTTCACCACATCACGAGCCCACACGAAATACTCCTGAACGCGCTGCTCCGACCAGCCTGAAAGCACAAATCATCTCATCACGCTTCCGTCACAAACCAGGACAAGGTCGTTCTCGACTCTGGGCTCGAGCGACTCTGATCAAACTGAAGTAAACGTGCTCAGGGTAAAATGAAACCTGCAGACGAACGAGCTGTTTGAATCATCTCGACTCTTCTAATCACATGTGCCCAGTGTGATCAGAGTGTGTGTCAGTTGTGGTTCAGTCCTGGTTCTGGTTCTGGTTCTTACCCACAGGAGCGGTCCTCTGCAGGTCTCGGAGGTTGTAGAGTTTGTCGGCGAGTTTGACGAGTTTGGCTCGGGGGCTGCAGTGGCGCGCGTGCTCCACCTGGAGGCGTTTTCTCTCGGCTTTGGACAGAGTTTTGTCGTCCGTCACTTCAGCCACGATCCCGGACACGACGGCGCCGAATCGAGACTCCAGCTCCGCCAGGGACGTGTCCGTGTCCTCCACCGTGTCGTGGAGCAGGGCGGCCTAAAGGTCACAGGTCACAGGTCAGAGGTCACAGGTCATAGGTCACAGGTCAGAGGTCACAGGTCAGAGGTCACAGGGGCAGGAGGAAAATGAAGGGTCAAACCTGGAGGACGCAAATGTCTGTGACTCCAGCCTCATGACTCAGGATGTGAGCAACACCTGAAACACACAAACACACACACACAACACACACACACAAACACACACACAAACACACACACACACACACACACACACACACACGCACACACACACACACAAACACACACAAACACACACACACAGGGTCAGCGTTTGTATAAGTTTATAAGTTTTGATTTGCACTTTAATATAAACACATAAATAGAATAAACTCCATGACCAGATTTTCAAAATAAAAAAACATTCCTGTTTTTTGGTGGTTGTAATAAAACTGTGACACGAGCTGTGCAAAAATATTCAAATATCGATATATCGTATCGTTTAATGTGACGATACAGTATCGATATCGTAGGCTGCTGTATCGATAAATCACCAAGAGCATTTTTGGTTTATTTTACTAAATTATTTTGTTACAGCTTCAGTTTTGTTGTTTGTTCAGAGGAAGAAAGTTTTTTACACGACACATTTGACATTTTCACTGTTTTGATGATTTAAATGTTTGTGTTTCTTATAAACTTTGCACAAGAAGACATAACAAAGACTTTAGTGTCACAGACACGATTTAGACTTTATTGTTTACTGAACCATATCGAATGTATTTGAAATATATCGTATTGAATCAAAAATCTCACTGTATCGAGACATGTAACGTATCGGCAACTTTTTCATGATCCCAGCCTTAGAAACAAGCGCATAAATAAAGAAAATAGTGATGCACTCGTCCCATTCATGACTAATGTGTATCAGTGTACGAGAAAACACAAAAACATCAACATCGTCAACTTTATCATTACAGTTTTTGATCCTCAACATTCAGTGACTTGGAGTAAAATCTTGTCATGTCAAAACAATTAAATGTGAAAACCTACTTCAAAATAAGTTTTCTCATGACAGACACAAACAACGCACCTGTCAACACAAACACAAACCAGCCACTGCGCATGTGCGGGACTTTTCTCTCTGTAAAACTGGGACGAATCAGTGGTTTTGTGTAAATCTGCAGGGACAGAGACACAGGGACAGGACTGGGACTGTCCCCGGGGGAATCTGGTCACTTTATAAAACTTTAAAACTCCTCATGTTGTTTGTGTTGTTTGTGTGTTGTGTTGTTTCTGTTGTATCTGTTGTATGTGTTGTTTCTGTTGTATGTGTTGTGTTTGTGTTGTTTGTTTGTGTTGTGTTTGTGTTGTGTTTGTGTTGTGTTTGTGTTGTTTGTGTTGTGTTTGTGTTTGTTTGTGTTGTGTGTTTGTGTTGTTTGTGTTGTGTGTGTTGTTTGTGTTGTTTTGTGTTTGTGTGTGTGTGTGTGTGTGTGTTTGTTTGTGGGACACGCACCGATCGGGTGGTTGACGTATGGCGTGGCTTCCGGGTCTTTGCGTCGCTGGTTCCGGTGTTTTTCTGCGGCGAAGTTCACCGTCTCCAGAAGCAGAACCGCGTCCGAACCGCCCGCGGCCTCCATGTACAGCACCGGCTCTGTGAGGTCAGCTCTGTGGAGAGGCGGCTCTGGTCTCTGCACGATCTGCGCCGCTCTGCCTCGAGACGCTTCCGTGTTTAGACCGTCCTGCTGCGTCACTTCCGCCGCCGCGCTTCGCCCCTCGGAGCCACTTTGAGTTAAAAATCTAAAATAAAATCTAAAATAATCACATTTCTGGACCATTGATACGTTTAGAACTCCAGCGGACGCCAGAGTCACGTATTTAACGCAACAATCCGATATTTTATACAAAGCTAAAGGCGCTAAAGTGAAAATATGAGACAGATTTTTAGTTGTTTTTAGCCTTGGAGCTAAAACTCACTCTCTTCCGGTTCTGACGCGGTTTCCTCGCGCTGTCTCGCGTCTCTGCTGCGGCTCTTCTGTGGTTCTGGTCGTTTGGACTCGGGGTTCTCGGGTTGTGTTTGTGGTTCTGTTTGTGGTTCAGTAATGGAACGTGTTCGTGTGGAGAACGGGAGGGTTTGTGGTTCTGTCTGCGGCGAATGAAGCGGCAAAGAGCGGAGCAGGAGCGGAACAGAAGCGGTACAGACGCGAACAGACTCAGTTTGGGCCGAACGAGGCGGAACCATGGATCTGTGAGAGTTCTGTGGTTCTGTGGGTGGAATAACCGAACCAGAACCCGGACCCTAAAGGATCCCGGGAAAAGAACGCACTAGACCCGCTCGTCTGTCCCGGTTCGGTTCAGTTAAACCCGGAGGATGGCGGCCGCGCTCCGCAGAGACGCGCCCCCGCTTCCGGACTTTTCCCTCCTGAAGAGACTCGCACGAGACCAACTCATCTTCCTCCTGGAGCAGGTTCCTCTTCTCTCCTCTCTCGTCCTCCTCCTCCACCTCCTCCTCTTCTTCCTCTTCTTCCTCTGTGACTCTGTTTTTTTTTTTTTGTTTTTTTCCAGCTTCCTGGTAAAAAAGATTTGTTCATAGATTCAGATTTGATGAGTCCACTGGACCGAATCGCCAACGTGTCCACACTCAAGGTACAAACACACAACACACACAACAAACACACAACAAACACACAACAAACACACACAACACACACAACAAACACACAAACACACAACACACACAACAACACACAACAACACACACACAACACACACACAACACACACACAACAAACACACAACACACACACAACACACACAACACACACACACAACACACACACAACACACACACAACACACACACAACACAACACACAACAACACACACAACACACACACAACACACACACAACAGAAATTGTCCAAACTCTCGTCTCTTCATCAGATTTAAAACTTTTTAAATTAAATTTAATTTTGTTTGTTTTTTCAGCAACACGAAGTCGACAAACTTTATAAAGTGGAACATAAACCTGTGACGTCAACGGCCGACCAGTGAGTCAAGACCAGGACTAGGACCAAGACCAGGACTAGGACCAGAACCAAGACCAGGACTGAACCACAGACCAGAGGCTGTTTTTTTTACAGGGAGGATGTTGAACTTTGTTGTTTTTGTTTGATGAGGATCAGAGACAGATCTGAACCATAAACCGGGTCTGGGTTTGGGTCTGGGGGTCTGGGTCTGGGGGTTTGGGTCTGGGTTTGGGTCTGGGGGTCTGGGGTGGGGGTCTGGGTTGGGTCTGGGGGTCTGGGTCTGGGTGTGGGGGTCTGGGTCTGGGGTTCTGGGTCTGGGGGTCTGGGTCTGGGTCTGGGGGTCTGGGTCTGGGTTTGGGTCTGGGGGTCTGGGTCTGGGGGTTTGGGTCTGGGTGTGGGGGGTCTGGGTCTGGGGTTTGGGTCTGGGGGGTCTGGGTCTGGGGGTTTGGTCTGGGTTTGGGTCTGGGGGTCTGGGTTTGGGTCTGGGGGTCTGGGTGTGGGGGTCTGGGTCTGGGGTCAGATTTAAAGCTCATCTGTGGAACATTTCTCTTCTGTTCCGTTGCTGTGAGAAATAAAAGTTTGTTTGTGTTTCAGACTCTGTTTCCTGATCAGACCCAGAATCCAGACGCTCGTTTGGATCTGCGGTGAGTACTTCACTACTACTGCTACTGCTACTACTGCTACTGCTACTACTGCAGTACCGTGTACTCTGTGTACTGTTACTGCAGTACCGTGTACTCTGTGTACTGTTACTGCAGTACCGAGTGTGGATCAGTCGTGTGATATTTTTTCATATTTTAGTAAAATAATTAAATAAAATCTTTGTTGTCCCTGAGCTCCACATACACAGAAATACTTCTGCTTATATATGCAGTATATGTGTGTACTTATACTTATATTATGTATAAATATACTTACAGCCATATACTTCTATATAAATATGTACTTTTACTTATATACTTGTATATAAATACACTTATGTACTTGTATATAAATATAATTATGTACTTGTATATAAATATAATTATAAACTTGTATAACTGAACCTGGTTGTGAACAAACGGTTCATCAGTTTTCAGTTTCCCCAAATATTAAAACTTTTACTGATATTTAGTCTCATTATTTTGCCCTGTGATTCTCACACGTGTGTGTGTGTCTGTGTGTCTGTGTGTGTGTCTGTGTGTCTGTGTGTGTGTGTGTGTGTGTGTGTCTGTGTGTGTGTGTCGTGTGTGTGTGTGTCTGTGTGTGTGTGTGTGTGTGTCTGTGTGTGTGTGTCTGTGTGTGTGTGTGTCGTGTGTGTGTGTTGTCTGTGTGTGTCTGTGTGTCTGTGTGTGCCTGTGTGTCTGTGTGTGTGTGTCTGTATGTGTGTGTCTGTGTGTGTGTCTGTGTGTGTGTGTCGTGTGTGTGTGTTGTCTGTGTGTCTGTGTGTGTGTGTCTGTGTGTGTGTGTTGTGTGTCTGTGTGTGTGTGTCTGTGTGTGTGTGTCTGTGTGTGTGTGTCTGTGTGTGTGTGTCTGTGTGTGTGTGTCTGTGTGTGTCGTGTGTGTGTGTTGTCTGTGTGTGTTGTCTGTGTGTGTGTGTGTGTGTGTGTCTGTGTGTGTGTGTGTGCCTGTGTGTGTGTCGTGTGTGTGCCTGTGTGTGTGTGTGTGTGTGTCGTGTGTGTGTGTTTTTTGTGTTCAGATCTGGTGAAGTCGGACAAAGCTGTGGGACGAGTGCGACGCTACAAAATCATCTTCACTCCACAGAAGGTCTTGAACCTCTGCCCCTGTGCCCCTGAGCAACACACCTCTGCCCCTGTGCCCCTGAGCAACACACCTCTGCCCCTGTGCCCCTGAGCAACACACCTCTGCCCCTGTGCCCTATGAGCAACACACCTCTGCCCCTGTGCCCCTGAGCAACACACCTCCTCTCTCTTCTTCTTCTTAAATCTGTGTTGTTGTTTCAGTTCTTCTCGTGCGAGGCCGTCCTGGAGGAGCACGGGGCGTTTGGAGGTAAACTCTGACACTGTAATGAGCTCGTGCGTGATTGGTCGAGGCTCACGTGTGTCCTGCGCTCTGATTGGTGCAGACGTGTCATGTGACCAGTGGGACTTCCACCTGTTACCTGTAGACGACGACATCATCAGTCTGGAGCTGCCCGAGTTTTTCACCGACACGTTTCTGGTAAAACCGACGTGACCCCGGACCTGACCCCTGACCTCTATGCCCCCTGTGACCTGTGACCTTTGTGCCCTGTCCAGGCGGGGGACCAGCGCTGGGTGAGGACAGTGGGCAGTGCTCTTCATCTGCTCCATTCTCTGTTTGGACCTTTCTCCAAAGTTTATGGCATCGGACGTATTGCCAAGGTACGGGAGGGCATCTGGCTCTTTACGGGAGGGCGTCTGGCGTTTTACGGGAGGGCATCTGGTGTTTTACGGGAGGGCGTCTGGCGTTTTACGGGAGGGCGTCTGGCGTTTTACGGGAGGGCGTCTGGTGTTTTACGGGAGGGCGTCTGGCGTTTCACGGGAGGGTGTTTGTTTTACGGGAGGGTGTTTGTTTCACGGGAGGGTGTTTGTTTCACGGGAGGGTGTTTGTTTCACGGGAGGGTGTTTGTTTTACGGGAGGGTGTTTGTTTTACGGGAGGGCGTCTAGCGTTTTACGGGAGGGCGTCTAGCGTTTTACGGGAGGGTGTTTGTTTTACGGGAGGGCATCTGGCTCTTTACGGGAAGGTGTTTGTTTTACGGGAGGGCGTTTGTTTTACGGGAGGGCGTCTGTCATGTTTTTTACGGGAGGGCGTTTGTTTTACGGGAGGGCGTCTGGCGTTTTACGGGAGGGCGTCTGGCGTTTTACGGGAGGACGTTTGTTTCACGGGAGGGCGTTTGTTTCACGGGAGGGCGTTTGTTTTACGGGAGGGCGTTTGTTTTACGGGAGGGTGTTTGTTTCACGGGAGGGTGTTTGTTTTACGGGAGGGCGTCTAGCGTTTTACGGGAGGGTGTTTGTTTTACGGGAGGGCATCTGGCTCTTTACGGGAAGGTGTTTGTTTTACGGGAGGGCGTTTAGTGTTTTACGGGAGGGCGTCTGGTGTTTTACGGGAGGGCGTCTGGTGTTTTACGGGAGGGCGTCTGGTGTTTTACGGAGGGCGTCTGGTGTTTTACGGGAGGGCGTCTGGCGTTTTACGGGAGGGCGTCTGGCGTTTTACGGGAGGGCGTCTGGCGTTTAACGGGAGGGCGTCTGGCGTTTACGGGAGGGCGTCTGGTGTTTTTGCAGATGGTGTACGAGTCGTTCCGGACGCAGCTGCAGACGGAGGAGACGAGGACGAGAGGAGACGCTCAGATCGGAAACGTCTTCATCATCGACAGAGGTACGACAGGAGCAGACAGGAGCAGACAGGAGCAGGCAGGAGCAGACAGGAGCAGCAAGGAGCACAGGAGGAACAGGCAGGAAGACAGGAACAAGAAGGAAGACATGGACGCATCAGGACAGGGAAGGAGACAGAAAAGGTCAGGCAGGAGTGACAGGTGTGTTCATGGAGCAGGCAGGAACAGGTGTGAGCAACGGAGCGAAGCAGGCAAGGGCAGACAGGAGGTTTGTTGTTGTGTGTTGTTTTTGTGAGTGTTCAATGTTTGTGATCATGTGTTATGTGTGTGTGGTGTGTTCATGTGTGTGTTTGTGTGTTCATTGTGTAGTGTCGAATGTTTTGTGTGTTCATTGTAGTTATGTTTAGTGTGTTAATGTGTGTGTTGTGTTTGTGTTTGTGTTCATGTGTGTGTGTTGTGTGTTCATGTGTGTGTTCTGTTTTTTGTTCAACTGTGTGTTCAATGTAACTTGTCATGTTTGTTGTGTTCATGGTTGTGTTGTGTGGTGTTCGCGTGTGACTGTGTTGAATTGTGTGTTCATGTCAGTTTGTGTGTTTGTGTGTTTGTGTGTCATGTGTGTTATGATTAGATGTGTTTTGTATGTTCGGTGTGTTTGTGCGTTCATGTGGTGTTTGTGTGTTGTGTTCTGTGTGTTGTGGTGTCATTGTGTGTTTTGTGTCATGTGTGTGTTTGTGTTTTTTGTGTTATGTGTGTTTTGTGTGTTCATATGTTTTGTTCGTGTGTGTTTGTGTTTCATGTGTGGTTGTGTGTTCATGTGTTTGTGTTTGTGCGTTCATCGGCTGTTCATGTGGTGTTTGTTGTTCATACGTGTTGGTGTGTGTTTTCATGTGTGTGTTTGTGTGTTCATTGTTGTGCGTTCATGTGTGTGTTATGTGCGTGGTGTGTGTTTTGTGTGTGTGTGTTTTGTGTGTTTCATGTGTCGTGTTTGTGTTCTTCATGTTGTGTGTTTGTGTTCATGTGTGTGTTGTGTGTTCATGTGTGTTGTTCAGTGTGTGTTGTGTTCATGTTGTGAGTTCATGTGTGTTGTTTGTGTGTTGTGTGTCAAGTGTGTGTTTGTGGGTTATGTGTTTCATGTGTGTGTTCAATATGTTTGTGTTCTTGTGTGTTTGTGGTTCATTGTCGTTATTTTCCTGTGTCTAGTGTTTGTTTGTCAAATGTGTCATGTGTTTGTGTTCAAGAACTTGTGTTAGTGTGTGTTCATGTTTGTTTGTGCGTTCATGTGTGGTGTTATTGTGTGTGTTTGTGTTGTTGTGTGTATTTGTGTGTGTAATGTCGTGTATGTGTGTTTTGTGTGTTCAGAGGGTCGGGTGGTTCATCATGTGTGAAGACTTTTGTTTCGAGGGTGGGGAACTGTGTGCAAGAGCACAGACTCCTGAGCCTGCGTGAGATTTATATGAAAATATAAAAATACACAACACACACACACACATATATACAATATATATACAATATGTATACTATATATATATATATATATATATACACACACACAATACTACACATACAGTGACACATATAACAAATCCAGTGTGTGTGTTTCAGACATCGGGGCGAGTGAAGCGATGATGAAGAGAAAAACCAAACAGGACTTTCAGGAGCTGCTGCGAACGGAACACTGTGAGAAATATATTTATTATTATAGATTTATAATTATACTTTTATTATATATTTATAATTATAGATTTATATTTATAGATTTATTATTTTTATTCCACAATAAAACAACAGAACACTGTGAGAAATACATTTATAATTATATTCACTAATATATGAAGAATATTTCAATACAACATCAGACACTGACTCTGAATAGATGTCTGACCCTGGCTGTCCCTGGCTGTCCCTGTCTGTCCCTGTCTGTCCCTGTCTGTCCCTGTCTGACCCTGTCTGTCCCTGTCAGCTCTCCTCGAGGGCTTTGAGATCAGAGAGTGCATCAACTTCATTGAAGAGCACATCAACAGACAGGTGAGTGCACCTGCCGCTTTCACAGACAGGTGAGTGCACCTGCCGCTTTCACAGACAGGTGAAGTGTACCTATCGCTCTCGCAGACAGGTGAGTTCACCTGTCACACTCACCTGTCTGAGGATTGCCTCATTAGCATGTATCTCATTTACATATATTTGCATATATTTACATATTTCTGAATATATTTGCATGTGTAATTCTTGTTTGTTTTTGGAGGTTTCTGTGCTCGAGTCTCTGAGACTCCTGTGTCTGCTGTCGCTCACCGAGAACGGTACTAAAGAACACTACACTAAAGAACACTAAAGAACACTTCACTAAAGAACACTACACTAAAGAACACTACACTCACTTCACTAAAGAACACTACACTAAAGAACACTTCACTAAAGAACACTTCACTAAAGAACACTTCACTAAAGACACTAACACTAAAGAACACTACACTAAAGAACACTAACACTAAAGAACACTACACTAAAGAACACTACACTAAAGAACACTACACTAAAGAACACTACACTAAAGAACACTACACTAAAGAACACTACACTAAAGAACACTTAAAGAACACTACACTAAAGAACACTTCACTAAAGAACACTTCACTAAAGAACACTACACTAAAGAACACTACACTAAAGAACACTACACTAAAGAACACACACTAAAGAACACTACACTAAAGAACACTAAAGAACACTTCACTAAAGAACACTTCACTAAAGAACACTTCACTAAAGAACACTTCACTAAAGAACACTTCACTAAAGAACACTACACTAAAGAACACTAAAGAACACTACACTAAAGAACACTAAAGAACACTAAAGAACACTAAAGAACACTAAAGAACACTAAAGAACACTTCACTAAAGAACAACACTAAAGAACACTCACTCACTAAAGAACACTACACTACACTACACTAAAGAACACTTCACTAAAGAAACACTTCACTAAAGAACACTCACTACACTAAAGAACACTACACTAAAGAACACTACACTAAAGAACACACTCACTAAAGAACACTAAAGAACAACACTAAAGAACACTACACTAAAGAACACTTCACTAAAGAACACTAAAGAACACTTCACTAAAGAAGAACACTACACTAAAGAACACTCACTAAAGAACACTAAAGAACACTTCACTAAAGAACACTACACTAAAGAACACTACACTAAAGAACACTAAAGAAACACTAAAGAACACACTAAAGAAACACACTAAAGAACACTTCACTAAAGAACACTTCACTAAAGAACACTTCACTAAAGAGAACACTACACTAAAGAACACTAAAGAACACTTCACTAAAGAACGCTTCACTAAAGAACACTTCACTAAAGAACACTACACTAAAGAAACACTAAAGAACACTTCACTAAAGAACACTTCACTAAAGACACTACACTACACTAAAGAACACTACACTAAAGAACACTACACTAAAGAACACTACACTAAAGAACACTTCACTAAAGAACACTTCACTAAAGAACACTTCACTAAAGAACACTACACTAAAGAAACACTAAAGAACACTTCACTAAAGAACACTTCACTAAAGAACACTTCACTAAAGAACACTACACTAAAGAACACTAAAGAACACTACACTAAAGAACACTACACTAAAGAACACTTCACTAAAGAACACTACACTAAAGAACACTAAAGAACACTTCACTAAAGAACACTTCACTAAAGAACACTAAAGAACACTAAAGAACACTTCACTAAAGAACACTTCACTAAAGAACACTTCACTAAAGAACACTACACTAAAGAACACTAAAGAACACTAAAGAACACTACACTACACTAAAGAACACACTAAAGAACACTTCACTAAAGAACACTACACTAAAGAACACTACACTAAAGACTACACTAAAGAACACTACACTAAAGAACACTAAAGAACACACTAAAGAACACTTCACTAAAGAACACTACACTAAAGAACACTACACTAAAGAACACTACACTAAAGAACACTTCACTAAAGAACGCTTCACTAAAGAACACTTCACTCAAGAACACTACACTAAAGAACACTTCACTAAAGAACACTTCACTAAAGACACTACACTAAAGAACA